AGAGAGAGAAATAACCTCAGCTTAAGGACATTCATAAAGAAAATCACGAAAAGTATGTACATTGTGCAATGAGAAGCTGAGTCCGAAGAAAAAGTACAAGATGAAAGATTTATAGAAATTGTTGCACGGTCAAAACCACATAAAGGAAAAAAAATGATCTGAACACGAGTCACAAAGTCAACTACCTGAGTGAGAGATAAGGAAAAACAGAAGATATAGGTTTTAGTGATGTGTGTCAGAGCCAATCCATTCAGTATGAGCAGGACCGCCGAGAGCTTTTACTGTGTTCGGGGTATAGCGTTGAGTAGGCGCCCCGGGTATGTTTAAGCATACATGATTTAAAAAAAAATTCATTAAATGCAATCATGCATATATATGACTGCACAATTTTCTTAATTGTAGTTTATTATTGTGAAAATCATTTTACGGTAATTTTTTAAAAAATTGCGTATTTATCAGGCTTGGTCGGGAAGCGGGAGCGATCGCACTCGATTGCTGACCACGTAAATAATATTTAGTTGCGAAAAGCTGGTCAGATTTTTTAGTCGTTTTGAGAACATTTTAAAAAGCAAAAAAACAAGCGCTATTAATTGGAAAGATGAGAGACAATTACAAAAATAAAAAAATTAGGCGAATAAAATATCTTTAAACGCGAAAAAACTTAAAGCTATGTTTAGAATAAATATTTTCGAAACATCGCTTTTTTATAATTTTTTTATAAAATTAAACGAAGTTTTTTATATAAAGTAACATCTTAAGATAGTTTAAAAAGGAACCAATTATTCTTTATTTCACAAAGTTTGCAAGTTTCAGTTTTATTTAAACTAAATTATTTTATAAATAAAAAAAAGTTAATTTTTTTAATACCTATTTTATGTTTCGCGTAATTTGAAAAATTTAACATATTTGAAGCAGTTCTTCTTAGTAAGAAAAACAAATGAAAAAATTAAATCATTGAATTACTATAGAAATTTTATTAGCAAGATAGACATCAACTAAAAAGGTTAAAAATACTTTATGACGAGGAAGCGAGGAAGCGAAACTGCTTCACATTATCGCTGATGATGATTAGTGAGTGGGCTTTTAAATTTTAATTAGTATTTAAAGCCGAAAAAAGTATAACGAGTCTTAAGAATAACAAAAAAATAATTAGAGTAAGAAACTTTACTAGAAACTTTTCTTTATATCTAATATTTGTTATAAATATTTGTGTTCTGTCGTGACCTCAGGCGCGGTTCTTGTTTATCCGAGAGTTACTTTGTACGCGTTGCTTGTGTTTAGTATCCAGAAATTTCTTATATGTTTGTTACATAATTAGTTTTATTAAACTTTAACGATTATAACTTTGTTGAAAACGCAATTGTTTTTGTAAGTCTTTGTTTAATTTATTAAAATTGCTTTAAAAGATACATTACGATAAAAAACAGATACACAAAATTACATAAAGAATACATACTTTTTAAATAAAAAATAAGAATATGCTAATAAAATCTATAATTTATAATAAACTTTTAAAATTTTGACAATTTAATTAATATATATTTAAAACATTTATTTTTGTAAACAAATAATATATATTCTTAAAACAAATAATGCTAGAAATCTCAAAATGTAACAAATCGTGAATAATACAATTACTAAAGCATTTCAACAGAATACTATAGAACTTTCTTCGCTTAGTCACCGTATTTTTTTTGAACCAATAGAATTAGTTTGTTCGTTAACTTGGCAGGTTTTTAGTGTTTGCGAATATTCTTTTTATGCTTTCGCACCAAGATGTTTTGAAAACATTCAAATTTTTTATGTTTCCATGTATGTTCGTAAAACAAAAATTTTTTGTTTCGTACAAAAACTTAAATGTTCTCAAAGCGATTAAAAAACCTGGCCAGTTTTTCGCAACTAAGTATAATTTCCGTGGTCAGTATTCGAGAGCGATCGCTCCCGGTTCCCGACCAAGCCTGATTTATAAAATACAACTAAGCAACACAAATTCAACATAAAATGCATTGTTAGACATTTTTCAGAAATTAAAATAACAAAAAAGGGCCAATATAAAACACTCTTTTCTTACTTTTTTACCGGCAAAATTTTTTATTATAACATCATATGACAGAGTCTTTGCCAACTCATTTTCCAATGTCAAAGTCATCTTCTTTCACATTGTTAGCATAGAATTTTGCTGATTCAAGAGCTTTTATCTCTTGAGAATCTTGTAATTTGTCTTTCAACCAGATGAATGAGAACCTTGAATAAATTCTCTTTACTATGTCTACCTTAACCTTATGTATACCTTAACTGAATTTGATGAATAAAATGATCAAGAGCAACGTTGAAGATAATTACCTCAAATTTATACTCTGGACTCTTATAGCAGAAAACTGCATTTGCAAGTTCATTGTGATATCCTTTCGCTCTCTTCTTTCGTTTTCCAAAGCCTAGAGAACCTAAAACTCATTTCAAAGTCTAAAGATCCTGCAACAGCTTTCGCTTTAGTCAAAATGAGCGGATGCGGCCAAGATTGCTTATTAGCTATTGAATTTGAATATCTTTATCATCTATTGTTAGTGAGGTTGACTGGAACAAACGGCTTATTTCATCTACTACTTGAAGAATGTCGGAAAATGTCAGAAGCACAACAGTTTCATAAGATCAAAAAAAAATAATAAAAGACTTAGCTATATATATATATATATATATATATATATATATATATATATATATATATATATATATATATATATATATATATATATATATATATATATATATGTATATGTATATATATATATATATATATATATATATATATATATATATAATATATATATATATATATATATACAAATAGTATTGCATACTTTGGTAAGCAATCTGACGTCATACTGAAATAGCCGGCTGCTGGGGGCTTCAGTACATACAACGACTGACAAATAGCCTGACTCGCAGTGGAGTGCTGCTACATCCATTGAGGGTTTGGGATGGGGAAGCAATCGTTTTATTTATTATTCTTCGTTTTTTTCTTCTTTTTCGAAAAAAACGGTTTACCTTAAAGTAAGCACTATGTATATTTAGTGTATATAACTTATGTAGAGTTATATAGATTTAAAAAGAAATAACTTCCTGTTATTAATGTTTACAATTTTGGATTGTGGATTTTTTTAGGTATAGAAAAACTTGTATTATAAGTTTTTCTATACCTAAAAAAATCTACATGAATACTGGAATCTTGCTTTACCTTTTGTATTTGCAATACCAATTGTACTGTTGGTGTAGCAAACCTAACACTTTTTTTAGTTTTTTTGATCATTCGTATTAAATATTTTGTTCATTAAAAATTTTGTAAACATTATATGGCTCCCAACATACTTTTGGTCAGTCATATTGACTTCAAAATTTGAAAAGCATGCTGGTCGGTCATATTGACTTCAATTTGAAAAACACACTTTGGTCGGTCATATTGACTTCAATTTGAAAAACACACTTTGGTCGGTCATATTGACTTCAAAATTTGAAAAATTCAGCAGAGGGAGTAATGATCTTTTGATTTTAATTATTATTTTAAAATTTATTAAATTAATATAAAATTCTTTATTATAAAATTAAAAATTATTATAAAATTAAAATAATATAAAAATTATTAAATTCATTTCGAAATCATGAAGAACATTATTATGTAAACGGAATTAGTTCTCTAAAATATAGTAATTCAAAATGAACAAGCAGGCTGCCCAATTTATGTATTGAAAGAATATATATCATCTATATTTAGATACAAATAATTAGTATAAAATGCTGTTAATAGTTACTGTAATAGTAAAAATTCTTGCACATAGAGCAATAATAATGAAAAACTGATCAGTTCCCTTGGAAACTTTAGCTGAGGATATATCTGAAACAAACATTACAGACAACTTTGATAACTACATCTTCATAAATATTTGAGATTTTTATAAAGACGAATTTCCATTCCTCTTATCAGTTTTTTGGAATCTAAACAATTTGCGCCCAAGTTGTTTCCCAAGCTTTTAAATGAAGTGAAGAGTTTTATAATTTTAAAATTAGCAAATGAGCAATCATTATAAACAAAAATCATCAGAATCAGAATCATTGAAACTACCATAAAATTTTAATTCCGAAAATAAAAGTAATGATTGGTTTAGAACACTAATGAAAAATATTTCAAACATGAAAACATCTACGCAAAAAAAAAATTAATAATAATATAGGATTTATTATATAAAGAAAGTAAAAATTTTGGAAAAATTATTCTTTTACTTCTGCTTGCAGTATTTTTAGAAAAAAATATTCTTGTTGGGTTTCTAATGTAATAAAAAATATTCTATTTAAATGTTTTTTTTCAAAAACACGGCATTGATGTTCCTTAAGAATAGTAAAAGCACCCCTCTGAAACTATTTTATCCTTAAAAAATTAATTCAATAAGTGTCTGGACTACTTAACACATCATTTATGGAATTAAAAAAAAGCTAACCAGGAAAATAGTTTTGATCTCAATAAAAAAGATGTAAAATAGCGTGGAAGTGTACTCAAAGGTATTATTCAGATGATCTGAAAATTGTCAGAGCTATAATAATGTTTTTGAAAGATAAAAAAGTAAGATTAAAATAAGATAAATTAAGATGAAAGTTCTTTTTATAAAATATTATTATTATTAATCTGTTTTAGTTCAAATTTAAAATTTTTTTGTTTCGTTTTTCAATTGTACATTTTTTCTTATTTTACGAGCCTTAAGTGATCTTATGCATTAAATCACATATACCTGGATATAAAAATGCACTTATGGATATAAAAATGCACTTAAATACTTTAACTTCATATTGAAAAGTTATCATAACAGCATGGTTTTTTAAAAATACAATTTTTTTTGATTTAAATCATTTTTTTAATATCTTTTTTAGTTTAGTTTGACATTTTCAAACTCTAGTTTTGTTTGTAGCTAAAGTTTAAAATCTTTAATGTTTTATAATTTCTTGTTTTTCAGCTAAAAATGGTGGTAATTGTACTTATGGGTGGGAAGATATATGGAAAAATGGAAGCTATTGCTATCTATTTTCTTATAGATATTATTATTACGGATATACTTGGAATCAATCTCATTTAGCTTGTCAGAACTCTGGTGGAAGTTTGTTAAGCGTATCGAATAAAGAAGAATATTTTGCAATTATAAATAGAATGTATTGGTCGATTTTTCAATTATGGATAGGTATTTTTGCTTTTTTTATTTTACCTGTATATGTTAATATTTGAAAAAAAAACTTTTTATAATATATTCATAATTACATAAACTTATTCTTTATAATATTTTTATAAATTTCTACACAATCATTTTATCAACTTTCAAACAGTTCTCTGATTTAAAGAAGTAATTTTATTACTTTTGAAAGTATTGAAATTGCTTACATAGTCATTACTACATCTATTGTAATAGTAATATTTTTACCATAGTAAGAATATTAATATAAATTTTAGTTCTAAAGGAACGTTAACTTCTTTTTGAAGAAAATATGATTCCTTACGATCTGTAAAGATTTTACACCTGTAACAATCTGTAGACATAATGCATTTTGACACATTTAATTTATGCTTTTGTTAGTTGGGATTTTATAAAAAAACAAATCTTTGCAAATTATATTATTTTTTTAGCATTCATTTTTTTATTTTGTTCATATATCTTCAAAAAACTAATTTTGCAAATGTTGTTAAGGTTATGTAAAAATATAAAATTGTGTAAAAAGTAATTGTTTACATTATTTAAAAAAGGTTTAAATGACATTCAGACTGAGGGAAAGTTTGTTTGGAATGACAATACAACATCACAGTTTTTTAATTGGAGAAGTAAGGCACCTGATAATATGAATGTCAATGATGACTGTGTGGGAATACACAGAAATGATGGTTGGAATGACATGAGTTGTAATAACCATAATGGTTATATTTGTGAAGTCGGAAAAGGTATATTATTTATACTAATATTTAAAATATTGTGGTTAAAAAGATTTATAATTATTATGTTTTTTGGTGTACGATAGTTTATATAATGTTAATGATAAAGATGATCATCATCATTATCATCATGATTACGATCATCATCTTCAACAGCATAAAATAGGAATGCTAAAGCCTGATGACGATGATGATGATCATGATTATCATGATGATGATAATGATTATCATGATGATGATCATGATTATCATGATGATGATCATGATCATTATGATCATGATCTTCTTTTTTTCTGTTCTCTAATATAAACAATCTAGAGCATTTTTTTTCTTAACTAAAGCTTATATATAATAAGGCATGCTATCGGAAACATCTGTCCACCTTTCTTGATCAAAAAAGGATGTAAGAAAGCTTAAATGTATTTAAATCAATATATTTCTGAAAAATTAGGACTGTAAAGATTACATATTAATAGGAAAAAAACAAAAAAACAATTAAGTTTTACAGAAAATTCTGACTTTTTTTTTGATGCCTCCCATAAGTTTCTGGACAGAGTGATTTTTGTTTTAACAGCGTAATCCCATTTTTTCTTCAAATCTGTAGCTGATTTTACTGTTTTTCCACTTAATTTTAATTTCTTTTTTATGATGGGCCAATATTTCAACAGGACGTAATTCTTGGCAGTTTGGAGGGTTCATATTTTTCGGAACCAACATCGCTCCATTATCATCGTAAAACTTTTGAGCATCTTTTGAGTAATGTATTGTGGCTAAATCAGACCAAAACAATACTGAAGTACTTCTATGAGCTTTAATTAGACTTTTTATACAAGAAAGACAACATTTTACGTATTCCGAAGATTTCATTGTGCCAAACAAACATGAATTGGCAATTTTTTGCCGCAAGAGCAAAGTGCCTGCCAAATCATTAATTTTTTCGAAAATTTATCAGTCATTCCATACTTGTATTTATTACTCACATTTCCTTTTATTTTAGAAGCATAGTAGCACTGCCCAGGAATTTGTTTAAAATCCATTTTAACTTAAGTTTTGTCATCCATCAAAATGCATCCATTATGTTTTGTTAACAAGTTGTCATACAACTTTCGAGCTCGACTCTTTGCAGTTGAATTTTGTTTATCGTTGCGATTTGGTATTTTAACTACTTTAAAACTTTGATATCCAAGTCTCTGTCGCCATTTGTGTACAAAAAAATTTAAAACCTTCAGTTTTTTCGCTCGAAATCTATCAGACAGGATGTTCTTCCAATGAAGTCTCCAACTGTTCGAGAGCTCTAGGATTTGCTGTGCGTTTTTTTTTACCACTTCCTTGTTTTCTCTGAATAGTTTTCTGTTTTGTAAACCGTTTAAGACCAGTATCTACTGTTCTTCTTGATATTTTTAATGATTTCGCCAACTTTCTATTCAATAAAGTTGGATTTTTTAAGTGTTTGTCCACAATCAAAAATCTTTGTTTAGTTTGCTCGGTTGACATTTGAAACTAAATTATATTTTTTATTTTTTTCTGCAAAAATGTTCTATAATACAAACACTATCACACACAAAAAAAAATTTTCAAAAAACAACCTTTAACTAGCTTTACCACACCGCAAAAGGTGGGCAGATTTTTCCGATAGCATGCCTTATGTAAGGCACTCTCTTCAAGTTTTCTTACTACCCCCACCATTTTCTACTGAGGCTGGTACCTCTCTACATGCTGATGCCTAAATTAATTTATTTTTTTATAGCAAACGTTTTTGATACAATGTTTTTTCAAATCTGTGTAAGATTATGCCTTCTTACATCCATCTGATCATCTTCTCTTTTGGAAATACTAAACTATATAAATACTAAAGTTTATATAACAATAAAAAGATATTGTATGCCAGCATCTAAATAAATAGCAAACATATACGTTAATATCTATAATTAGTATTCATAAAGTGCTTCTTGAAAGCTTCTATTCCTTCTAGAATAAATTTTTGGAAGTATTTGTTTCATCTTTTTTACAAGAACAGCTTTCTCATGACAAATGTCCTTTTATTATTGCAAAAAACTAATGTAAAAAAGTTGTGTCTGATGTTAAGCTCTGTTATTCTCAATTAACTCAATTACTAAATTAATTAACTCAATTACTAAATCTCAATTACTAAATTTTGTATCTTATCATGTTAGGTTCCAGAGACTTTTGGTAAGTCTTCAACAGTATCATTAACTAAAGTAAGTCTAACATTTAATCTCTAGTTTGTGGGTTTGATCTTTTTACTTCTCCCTAGAATAAAGCAGAGTTATTCGCAAAGAAATCTTATTCTAGTTTGACTCTTGAATATAATAGCCATACTCTTCCTGACAGTTAAACAGATTAACCCATTATTGTCCTAATCACTCTGGCTTCCAATGCTAAAGGTAATTCTTAATTAAACACTTCTACAGTTTCTGCTCCAAAATAGATTTCCATCATAGTCTTTAAAAAGTTTTCTCTAGAACTCTCTTCAATTATTGCTTAACTTATATAAAGGGTTAAATAAGTGGTTCCAATTTTTCAAAACTCTAGAAAACTCTAACTATCCTGCAATTAGCTTTTACTCTTTTAACTGCAGTAGTAAAGTTATTCTTGAAAGCCTACCATCTTCTTTACCCTTAAAGTTACTTTCCAAGTAACCTTAAGGGTACCACAAGGTTCTACCTTTTGTTCCTGTATTGTTTTTTATCTACAATAACAATCTTCATGAAATCTAAAGTGGCTCTATTTCCTGACGACTTAAATTAATACTCTTCTCTTGACAAAAAGTTTTCACTTTTTTCTGTAACAGCTTAAGGCTTGCAGTAGCTTGTGGGTTTTTAAGTCTGGATTTAAAACCCACAACTTTTTTTAGACAACAAAACTAATTTATTTACTGCAACAAAATATTGCAATAATGTTGGCATTTCTATATATTGATAAAGAACAACCTTTTTACCTTTGGACAAAGTCTAAAAGTACATTGAAAATGTAATTAGACCTGCTTTATCTCACAAACTTGAGCCACTTT